TCTTTTTTGTGTTTAATTGATGTTCGTTTTGTAATTTTGATATCCATTGATTCATTGACTCTGAGTTGTATGTGTTCTGTTGTTCGGTGTTTCTTTCCTTCGTTTGTTCGTTCGTCCGATCTTTTATTCGTTGGTTTGTTTGTGTTGTTTTCTTTGATTGTTTGCTTGTTTATTTGCTTGTTTCTTTGATTGCTTGCTTGCTTGTTTAGTTGTTTCTTCGTGTCTTTGCTTCATCTAGGGGCATGGACTTTTTTTGGCAGGACCCAACTCTCTATCGGGAGACAGTGGTGTACTGCATTGACTCCATCTTGCGGCATGTCACGCAGAAGAGGGAGAAGGACATCTCTTTGTGAAGCTGGTATAGCGACAACCAAACACCGGTTAGATTAAGGCTAGTACGGGATAGTCCCATTCATAAATGGGCGCAGCCGCCAAGGGAATTCTTTGCATGGCTCTGGGTAGACCATTGTAATACCAGGTGACTATACCTTATATGGTTGTCGGATTCTCTACACCCCTGCAGCTTTGGCATGTGGAGGTTTAGTTTCGCAACCTTGCGGTTGTGTTGCAGGATTATGTGTCAGGTGCGAAGTAAAGAAGGCAATTCATTGTGGAAGATAGGCGGGGCTGTTTGAGGGTGTTTGCATGCGATGTCGGCATCGAAAATTCGTCAGCATCCTGTGCCCCGAAGACCTTTGAAATAAATATACTTGGGTTGGAGTTACACCTTGATGTAAACAAAGGCGCCCCTGCGGCAACTCTCCTTTCTTCGCGGGGTCCCTTGCAACGCGGGGGCTTCATATGTTTGGCGGCGAAGAGGTGGGCTCTCGGGGCAGGTTGAGCTTCTGTTCGATGGCCTAAATGCTGGGCCCATGTGTTGGGATCCTGAAGTTCTGAGGCCAGCAAGGCCAAAATGAAACTAGGACCCATAAAAGGGCCCCCTTTCTGCGTTTCCTTGGGAGTTGTCAGAGAGTACTCCATATGAACCCGGCATAGGTTATTGCCACTGGATTCCGGATGGCGTGGAGAAGTTGACCTTGTTAAAGCTTGTAGGGCTGCTTTCCTTGATACCAAGAAACCCCCCCTTTGAAATGATAAAATTGTAGGGATTTGCTACTTTGGTATCACAGAATGGACTATTTCCCATCCATGTGCTGAAAACGAAAGGGACCTCGCCTGGGAACATGGTGTTAGGAGCTGCGGCTTCGGTATCAGAGCGAGCTGAAGACTTCTTTGCGCGCCTTTGGCCCTGGTTTTCTTGTTCGAAGTGGGGTCTCATGATTGCTTAACGGGCACCAACTACCCCTTTTAGGGGGTGGGAAACACACCCGCCTGTTGAAGCTGTTGGAGTGGGAGATTGGCACTGGTGTGCGAGGTTAAAGGGAGCCTTCAATTTCAGTCGGCACACCGAAAGCAGGTGCCTTGCTTGGAATCGTTTTTGTTCCACAGCTGCAGAGAATTGGCCACCACGGAGGAAAGCTTGGAAGCTCACAATACTTGTGGTTCCTTGGTAGTACTCTTTTTTTTTTTCAGGGAAAACAAAGGAACGGGAACTGCCCATAGGGGGTTCCCTATTTTGAACACACCCATACGCAGAAACCGCCCTTTCCAGGGGTTCTATTTTAAGACACCCATGCAGAAGCAATGTCTGGAATCTGAAGAGTAATTGATCAAGTCCCCCCCCGGAAGCGAGGTCTGGTTTCAGCGCAGACAACAAGTGTGACCCATGCCATGGTCCCCATGGCTGTGGCTTGTTAGTGGTTGAAGTTTGGCCCGCATAAGATCTGGACAACATGATCAGAATCTACAATTCACACGGCTGAAATGAGAAAACCCAAGGAAGGACCCCTCCATCATGCGTGAAGTCGCCATATTTTTTTCAGATAGGATGCATATTGATTGGTTTGTGTTTGCACATTCAAAGTAAACCACTTGCATCCTGACTCCCCTCTTGCTCGGGTACGGGACCGAGAACCGGCGAACACGGTGCACCGAGCTGTTCCAGACGCGACACCGCATTGGACAGGATTGTCATAAACCCTGGTCCATTTGAGGCGAGCATGTGCGTTCTCTTTTTTGTTTTAACTGTCCTTTGGACGGGGTTTCAAGCTAATGAACCTGACAGGGGGGCCCCGGCCATTTTCTTTTAGAGGGACCGAGTCCCTGTCAGCTTCCATGTTAATTGGTGGGAGGGTACCAACAAGATTGTTTCTTCCCCACTGGAGGCCTTCAAGTTGAATCCATAGCTACAGCCATGGAAAACTCACATGTTGCAGCAGCAATGTATTAATTTGCCCTACAAGGCAACGGACGCCGCAGAACCTTGGCCTACTAATGTTGAGCCCCCTTGGTCTGTTTTGGGGAGATCCCCTTTTCGCCCCTTAGATATTCAATGTCGAAACGTGCCGAAAATGTGTTTGTCTTTGCAGGCAATTCGATCATCACTTTGTTTCACAAAAGGTGGGGGCAGCTACCTTGAATTTGGAGCAAAACAAACAGGATAATCAGGGCAGCCCTGATTCTTGGACGCAATGATTAGCAGTTTTAATTTAAATTCATTATAAGAAAAGTGGAACATTGGAGCGAATCAACCTCAGCTTCCGACAAAATGACACCCCCTTTGGCAATGAGTTTCTATATGAAAGCGCCCCGTTAGTCTTGGACATCAATAGCCACAACGCTTTTTCCCTGCCGTCCAAGTCATGGGATAGGCAACGTCTTCAAGCGGGGCATCGACAGTGACCGGGACTTTCTGGCGGAGAAGTTCTTTGAGATCCTGATGAAGTGGCGCGAGAAAGGATGGTTCAAGGATGAGACGCTCGCAGATTCTGGGGGTTAGCGCGGATTTTTGGGTGAAAGATGGCAGAATTCCCACGGGCAGCAAAATGGGGGGGATTGTTCCATCTCATCTGCTTTCAGCCACTTCGTGGGTTGTGAACAGAGACGCTGGGTATACATGTGCTTTGAATCCCAGCACAACCCTTTTAGAGAGGTAAAGTGAGCATGAGGATGTTACAATTTGGTATCGCAGAAAGGGTGATATTTCGCAACCATGCTGGGCACCCTTACGCTGCCCTGCAATGCGAGTTGGTACTTGGGCAATGTTTGGCTTTGGCCCCAGTTGAGCTGCAGGCGCAGTGATCATGCAGTCCTATTAGCGGTCGTGAGTATGCCATGCTTGAAGCTGAGGGTGCCCTTTTGGGTGGCTCCTGTTGAAGCTCCTATTGCCGATCCTGCATTACGAACAATCTGATTATATTCGAATTGATGATCTGAAACATGGTTAAACATAGTATAGTGTTTGATGATGTTTGATGGCTATTTGGTGCAAGAATATGTTTTCACTTTGGGAAATTGATCGTCGAGTTGTTCTACCTACTAATTTCCATCTTTGTTTTTTGGGAACATCGCCTCTTAGAATCAACACATATTTGCTTGCTGTTTGTGTGTTTCCCCCTGTTTTGACACATACCCAAAGGGAACTTGCGGGCCTTGCGCTTGGGGGCAAGCTGACAGCTGGCACGCCTATGGACAGAAACTGCCAGTGGATGGGCGAGATTCGTTCGCACTGCTTTGCTTGGAAACGATGGGAAACCGTTGTTTGTTGGTATGGACAGGGGAATCATCATTCTGGGTTTCTTTGGTGGTGCAGGATTTCGTCCATCCACAGTATGGTTCTGGTTGTCAGGAGGCCCCCAATCGATTCACCATTTGGAGAGTCCCCTTTTCTTGACAAGCTTTTTCAGGGCCTTGCCCACGGCGCATGCCGAAAGCAGAGGTGTGTTCTGTGCATATCATGCGCTCTGTGACCCCAAGTCCTTTCATTTTTACTGAAAGGAGCCCTGGCCCAGAGCCTATTTGGGCACAGACCCCCAAAGCTTTCAGCTTTTGGGTGCCCTAAAAGGTGCGGCTTCCTGTTGGCTTCCCTTAAACGGTCATGTTGAGAACTCATGCGGGTCTCTTTGTTTCTTTTTGGTTTGGGACGGGGGAGTTTCAAAGTGACACCGAAAGGAACGCCGCCTCCGGCGTGAAAAGCGAAATCCCCGAGGATCGACGGGCTGGTGGAGGTGATCCACCGGGCCGCGCCCAAGGTGCCCAAGCCCAAGGAGTTCAAGGAGGAAAACAGCGACTCCGGCGCAGACATTTTGTCGGCCGCTTTTGTTTTTCGGGGCCCGCAGCTTTGTCTTTGTTTTTTGCTCTTCTACTTTTGGATCAGGTTTTTTTGGGTTTTAGGGTTTTGGTTCTGATTGTTTTTGGTGGGGAGCTGAAAAAAGCAAGGCTGTTTGCTACCATACCAAGAGTCTGAAAGGGGTGTCTCTCAAAATGGATCGGTCTCAGAAAAGGGGACCCTCATGGCCTCATGACTGGTTTCATGTCTCTTCATTTGCTTAAAGGGCCAGAAAGCGACAGTTGTTTACGGCTAGACTGATTCAGCTAGAGAACATTATTTGGATGGCTAGAGAGAAGCCAAGGCCAACCGTTGGGAGAGCTCCCTTGGTTTTTCCTCCTGCCGAATGGGCACATCAATTGTCACTATATGCTGACACATATCCTCGACTTCAGTGGCCAACAAGAAAGCGAGTGTGGAGTCAACGAGAGTGGGAGTTATTGAAATCCTTGGTTCCAGGCACTAGACGAAAACGGCTGCAGGAAACAGGGAATAATGAGAAAGGAACTTCATACCAACATGGCTTCAAGTCCTGTGTCTCAGTGGCACACAGTTGCATTTGTTTGTTATATGGTTGAAATCCCTGGTGCCAATTTGGTGACTAGGAGATTCCTTGTGGGTGTATGAACGGTTTGACTGGTTGCCTACCTGGAAGTCGTTGGATATTACCGGCACGTCATGATAACGTCAAGGGTGTAGGGAAGCTAGAAACCTAAGGAAGGCTGCCTTCTTCAGAATCCCTGGCGGGCTACGGAAAGAATGTAAATCATCCAGCGATGTGCAGACCGAAGTTCATGTACAGGATCTTATGTTGAACATGTGTTTGTGCGTTTGAATGTGGAGGTGAGCAGTTGCCGGAGGTTTTGTAAATCAAAAGTAAAGAGACTGACACGATGTCACCAGGCGGTTGTGCCATCCCACCCACGTTATGCGTGCGTGTTTGTGTGTGTGGCTGGGTGTGTGCCATGGCATTTCGTGTGCAATGTAGGCTCTGATCATACACTTGGACTCTGTAGCTCAATCCATGGTGCACACACGGTGCATATTGCCCTTTGACCTTGGCCCATTCCCTTATCCAGCAGCAGCTATATGCTGTAATAGACATTTGTGTTGCAAAGGGCTGCGTTGGTCAGGGTTGCGCAATGTTGTCGTTTGGAGAGTCGTTCAGTGATAATCTGTTGCGAAGAGCTGCAAGAATGCGTTGGCGATGACACTGTAGCATCTCTACCGTCAAACCACGTTCTGGACACGGCACTATGATATCACAATTCAGTGACGTAATTGTCATGTGAGAACTAGGCTCGGTATGAAGAAAAAGCAAGTTCCCCAAACCACCAACACAAGGAATCACTCACCAGGAATGCTTCTTACAAATCTCCAAGTTCCCAGGTGGCTAAAGAATTGGAGAGAGTCTCCCGTGGCTACAAGTCTTAGAATGGCAGCAGCAACCGCGCAAGTTAAGAACCCAAGGGTATCTGATCCCAAGAGGCTCCTCTGAGAGTTTGGAATCCACGAGTTGCCTTAGCCTCCGTTCAAAGCTTGTTGGGAGCTAAGGCGATGAAGATATGCCAGCCACCTGGCAAGTGGGTTCGGTCAGGGGGCAGCGACTGGATAGCTGCGCAAAGCAACGGAGGGCAACAAGGGCAACAGGAGTGAAGCAAGCCAAGAGCAGGCGGAGTGTGTGTTGTTCGTTGGAACTTAGCGCCAGGGTGACACAAGGCAACCGCACTTCAGGATGTCGTGAGAATCTCAGGGCCTCAAGTGTGTGAGATGGACTAGCGACTAGTGCCTGTTGCAACAAGCAACTAGTAACGTGTTTGTCGCCCAAGGGGGTGCCACCAGGTCATGAGTCCTAACAGCCCTGGCAGCAAGAACCGGCTCGATTCATTGCGAGCTGGACATCGCTCTCCGGATGTGGAGGGGAGGCAGCCAGAAATGGACAGGCGATCATTGATCAATATGGCACATGCCAGCACATGTTTGCCGTTTGCGAAGGTCTGAACAACAGATTTGCCAAGCTTGCTGAGTAGTTGGACACATTTCTTGTGAGGGTATCCCTCGTCAAGTTGCTTGAACAGGAACAACAAGGGCAACAACAAATTTCGGAAGTGACGCCACATGTGGAGAATGCCCGCTTGGCAAGCTCATGCAATGATAGCTGACCGGGTTCCGGACGATCACACAGCTCTCTCCACTGTGAAGCTCCCGTTCTGGGTATGGGTCAAAATTCAACCAAGGGGGTTACAAAGTATGGCCCATGCTTCCATGTACCATGGCAACTCGTTTTGGGGACCTGTTGACCCAAAGCCATTTGGGAAGACCAGTTTAAGGGTAAACGAAAAGGTTTGACTTTGTTTTGGCCAATGGTTGCCCAGTTTAGTGGTAGACACACAGCTTAGAGCATACTTTTGCTGGCCAATGTTTGCCTTGGCTTCACTTTCCCTTTACGCCAAGGAAGAGCCACAGATGATGATGGCCTATCCTGCGAGCTCGGGGCTCAGAAGAGAATCAACCTGATGTTTTTGTTTCAGTTGAGAGGTGAGGGGGCTGTGAATTTTACTTGGGGACCCTTTGTAGACATCATTTAGGGCATTCCCCTGTTCAGGCGGTGTCCTGTATCCATAGCCATTTTTGGACCAATTGTAGCTGAGTTTCCTCTTGGCGGGGCGATGTTCCATTGGGAAGCATAGGGAGCCTTGTCTTTGGAATTCGGGCAGGACCCTTTGAAGGAGCCTTTGACAACCACTACTGGGTTCTTGGAAGGTATGGGATGTTCAATCCCAAATTCCCCAAGAACCAGCATGGTCCCAATAGACCCAATACATGGTCAATTGCCATCTCCCCGTTCAGCCATTAGTGATGTTTGATTTTTGAGTGTCGCCTCTCAAGAGGGGAATTGAAATAATACATGCGGTTGTGAGGACGGCCCCGATCAATGGCGGGTGGTGTTTCTTTGAGCCGCCTTGCCATCTCCCTCACACGAATGGGTCAATTTGTAATTCACCCTTTGTAAGAATATATACACTGCAGACACCAGGATCACCCAAGGACCGCTTCTGCCTTTCGTTGTGCCATGTTGAAAGACTCGAGTATGGTCTAAAATTGATCCCTCAAAGGTGAAGTTCTGAAAGGGGAACACCGAGTAGTTATTGGGCGGTGCTGTTGATGACCGCACTTGCTTGCCACATCCCTCCCTGGAAGAGCTGTTAAAGGGTGCCTGCATTGCCCTAAGGCCTGAAGCCAATGCCGCAGACGCCCACGAGCAGAGTGCCGCAAACACCAATGGGTGGTGTTCCCACGACGCCTGTTATCAAAGGCATCATGCAGTCTGTTCCAGCAACGCCGATGATGGGGGGCGCAGCGGTACCCATGACTCCAATTGGTGCTCATACAAAGCTCCAGGTGATGCAATCTGTGCCGGCGACGCCTGCAGTGGAGAGAGGTGTTCCCATGACACCGGGCTATGCAACGCCTGGCTACGGCAGCGTTCCAATGACGCCGGGCGCTGCAATGCCAGGCGGGTCGACGCCAGCTATGGGCGACAGCGTACCCATGACTCCGATGGCAGCCTTTGGGCCAGGGGCAGCTACTCCGCTGGTGCACAAGTCAGCCAATCAGCCTTTTACACCAAGCGGACCGGGAGCACCAACAACACCTAGGGGAGCACCAACAACACCTCAGCCATTCACGCCGCGAGGCCCGCAACCTATGACCCCAGCGGGGCCGCCAGTTTCAGCACAACCTGTTACCCCAAGACCGCCACCTTCTACTCCAGCAGGTCCACCGCCTGCGACCCCGGCATCGCCTGCCCATCAGCCATTTACGCCGCGCGGGCCCCCACCCGGTACTCCTGCTGGCGCGCCGCCAGCAACACCAGCCTCTCCCGCGCCGTTTACGCCAGCTGGGCCCCCACCCAGCACTCCTGCCGGTGCACCAGCAACACCAGCCTCTCCAGCCAGCGCACCTTTTACGCCGGCAGGGCCCCCACCCGGCACTCCTGCAGGTCCCCCACCAGCAACACCGGCAGGAATGCCGCCAGGAACTCCTGCTGGTCCACCCCCTCCAACACCAGCATCGCCAGGCCGCCAACCCTTCACACCCATGGGACCTCCGCCTGCCACACCCGCATCCCCAGGACGTACAAGAGGCATCCCCCCTCCATCTCCAGCTGCCCCTGCTGATCCGATAGGGTCACGCTCGCCGGGTCGATCACCTGGCCGGCCACCACCAGCAGCAGCCGCGGTTTCTCAGATGACACCAGCGACGCCAATGAGCGAGCAGCCGCAGAGTTTCCGAGCCCAGTCACCTGCGGGGCTTTCTCCTGCCGTTCGTACGCCGCTCAACATGCCCGTCACCCCAAAGGAAACCCCTGGCACACCATCCTTTGTGCCGGTGCCGGGCGGAGACGCTGCGCCGGCCACCCCAAAACCGGGTGCCCGGGTGCCTCCGACCCCTTTAGCCAGCGTCCCCGGCACGCCGGGCTTTGCGCCGGTGCCAGGGGGCGAGGCTGCGCCCCAGACCCCCGCCTTCGCACGGAGCCCGACCACCCCACTGCCCAGTACCCCCCACACCCAAGGCCCGACCCCACGGCAGCTGATGCCTCAGCCAGAGCCTCCCTCGGAAGAGTTCTCCGTCGCCACGTCGATGCTGACCACCTCGGAGCCGCCCACGGAGGCGCGAAAAACCCAACTCTTTGGTGTGTTGTTTGGTTTCCTTTTGGTTCTCCTTTAAAACAACCGCGGAAAAAGGAGATATCCTCAAAAAGGACGAGCCGCCCAAGTGTCGAGATCTCATTGCTCGCCCTTCCTTGCGCCTTCAGATTCCAGTTGATCTCCTTTTCTGTCCTTGAAGTTGCTTGCAACTTTGTTGGTAATCATCTAACACTACTAAACGGGCCTGCCTATGCGGGCGTTTGTCAACGCTGGGGCCAATTCCTCCCTCTGGTTTCCGTTTTCGTTTTACCATCCAGGGTTGCAGTAGATGTGCAATGAGCAACATCAATCCGCTTGTGGCTTTCAGGGGAAAGCAACATCAATCCCGAATTTTAAGCTACCCATAGAAAGGGGGTTGACTCCTGCAACTGTTGGGGCAAACCCATTTGGTTTGGGTACTAGTAGCTTGAGGGTCCAGGTTCCCCTAGATGAGCCGAAGCCGAGCGCGCGGACTTGGTTTTGCAGGTCTTCACGACCAGCATCTCAGAGCCCGAGCCGTCCAGCCAGGAGAGACTGGAGTGGAACAAGAGATTGCATGTATGTATAATATGTAATCATATATACATGCGCTGAGTATGTAGAATGCGTATATATATATATACAATGTATATATTTATTTACAGATGCTATGTATGTACGTCTTTAGAGGGTGCCTTTTTTTGGGGGGGTCAGAGGGAAAGAACTGAAACACATCATTTTAGGTTTCCCCTATTTCATACCCATGTTAGACTCGTGGTTCATGTGGGGTGGCCCGGGCCCTTTGGGTCATGTGGGGTGGTGGAAGTCCACGTGTCCAATCCATTTTTGCGACGGAAACGTGATGCCTGGGTTCGACAGGGACCGTGCTTTCAACTGGCTTGTGGCCACCGGCACGAGGCTTCAGTCCTAACGGAGTAGGGAGAGATACAGTGATAATATGTATATCCACATATATGTCTATATATGAGCGTTTTTTTTTGGTTAGCAGAGAATGTCGTGATCCTCAATTTGTGAGAGCACGGTGCATCAAGTACTGGGCATTGTTTTCCCCCATTTCGGAGTAGAATGGACTGCAACAATCGGGTGCGAGCAGGCACTGCAACACGATAGACATGTATCTATCTATATGTATATTCAATGTCCACATGTGACTCTGAGAAATGAGGGCAGTAAGGAAAGGTTAGACTCAAGGATTTTAGTCTTGTTTACAGTTCAGCTAGTCAGTATATGAGGGGATTTCCGGCCAGACCCGGACTGCAGATCGAGTTGTTGGTGACGGATGAACTGCTTGTCAGACTAAGCTATGACCATGGTGGGTTTGTTTTGAAGCTGGTTGTGGCATGCAATACTCCAGTGGACAAAGCGGGGCAAGGAACCTTTCCTCGCGCAACATCTCATAGTACAGTAAGGAATCGGTCGCATTGTATTTGCGCGGCTGCTCAAGCTTGGGCTTCCAAACTGCAACACCAAGTGGCCAAGCTTATCCATCGTGTATCAAATTGGTATGCCAATATCAGTCTTCTTTCGGTTCTGCCTTCCCAGACCCAGTCATTCCATTTCACCTCAGAAAGCAAGACATGATTCTTTCTTTGGCATCACACACACATGAACTGAGATGGCAATATTTCTCTTTACGTGTGGAAGTCAGAGGGATGACCAAACCAGAACAAGGGAGTCGTGCTAGCTGTGTAGCCGCAGGCGCCGAAGCGCCGCCGGATGTGATGCAGCTCGGACGGACTTGTCGTGTGGACTTGGGCGAGCTAAAAACTGGGCCCATGGCTTTTTGTCGCCGGTGTTTCATCTGGGTATGGGTCAAAATTGAACCATTTCATCTGAAAGTTTGGGTCAAGAGTGAACCACCAGGATATGGACTGCAGGTTTTAGTCCTTGGTTCCATTTACCAGGGTTCCATTTTTGGCTACCCATTTTTGACCCACGACCATCTGAAAGTTTGGGGCCCTTCCACGGATTGGTTGGCCAAAGCTGAGACCCTCAAAGCCGGAACCAGGTGCTAGACTTTTAAGGTCCGTTCCCCGGAAAGGCAGGATGACGCAGGGAGGGGATGCTACACTGCATAGCACACCTTTAAAATGCAGGTGTTTTGTTGGTTCACAAACATGACGGCCCCCGCTTTCAATCCAAACAGCTGCGTGTGCAGACGTTTGTGTAGGCTTCAACACTGGGGTCGCACCAGGTATGTGTCCTTTTTCAGGGAGGCGCTCAAATTGCCCAAGTGCTGGCACTCGCGACCAGGCTGACTTCTGCTTGGGCGACAGTCGGTGAAGCTTCCTTCCAGGGTCGCGGTTTCGACTTGGTCGCGGAAAGCGGAGGGAAAGTGGTGATTGAAGGCTACGTAATCCATGGGGTCCAAGTATAGACCGCTTCTTGTTTCCAAAGCCATCCTAAGGATGCACTTGAGCCCTGGGGAAGTATTGAGCACTGGCGAACCATCAATCAAAGCCATGATCCCTGATGCATGTTTGGTGAGCAATTGGCATGCCTGTGAATGACCAATGCACGAAACGCATGAACCGCAGAGCATGGCGCATCAGGACCAGAAAATGTGTCCATCGCTTTCACATTGCACCAAGGGCTAGCGGCAACAGGCCAAAGTTGCTATATGTCGCTATTATGTCGCTGTAAGGGGCGCCGAACGCCCACCCAGCACGCTATCTGTCCAAGGCAAAAGTCAAGTCATTGCGGATAAGCGTGCGCTGGCAATGAAAGACTACAACATCTACACACGTAATGCCTGTGCACGTATTGGCATGATCTCGGAAAGACTCATGGTTGATTGGCGGTGCCTGCAATGTGACTCCCTGACCTGGCTTCGCTGGTGCATCTCACAGTCCGGAGAGCGGCGGCTCAAGGCATATGTAAACAAGGGCCATTGCCGCCATGATTAAGGAAACCAGGCGTGCTTCTGCCGGCCGTGAGTCGTGCTGGTGGCTTACGAGCAGCGTTTCAAGACATGTGATGCTTGTTCCAAATTGAGGTTTCCTTCTTATTTTCGTTGGTTTGGTTGGTTGGTTGCTTGGTTGGTTGGCTGGCTGCCTGGCTGGCTGCCTGCTTGCTTGCTTGCTTGCTTGCTGGCTTGCTTGCTTGCTTGTTTGCTTGCTTGTTTGCTTGTTCGGTTGTTTGGTTGTTTGGTTCTTGAGTTGCTTGGTTGTTTGGTTGTTCGATCGTCGTCGTCGTCGTCGTCGTCGTCGTTGTTTTTTGTTGCTGCTGCTGCTGTTGCTGTTGATGTCCTTGTTTTATATTGACATTACCTTTGTGTTTGTGTTGTGGCTTTGTTGGTGATGATGATGATTATGAAGGTGATGGTGATGATGGTGAAGAAACAGGTGTCCAGCCAATGGCCTAATCACGGGTCCTCTACCTTTTGACTAACCCATTCGGGCTACGTATCAGCTTCGTCCTGACGACATTCCTTGGCCCTGCTCAATCCTTCTGAAACCATAGCCAGGTGGTGAGGGCTGGTATTTTTCATTCATTATTTTCAATTGAAGAAACGCGTCTTTGCTCAAAATACCGTTCCAACTTTTTCTCCAAGCATTGCCAGATGCGGGAGTCTTTTTTTGCACGGCTTCCCTTGCCCCTCCGCCAGATTCCGCATGTTTGGATGCGTTTTCCGAGCTCCGGGTTTCCCATTTGGTCGTTGCAGGGGCGCTTTGCCGTCAGGTTCGCGCCCACCGGCATCGTCTACTCCCAGTCCAATGGGTCGACCAGAGGGCCGTGCCCGGAAGGAGTTTCGTGTTCGGAAGGGTCAAGAGGCACCAGCGCGGCTGGGGGAACTCGATCTGTTTGGCTAAAACCAACAAGCAGAGGGGGCGGCCATACCCCATATTTAATCGACCCCCGTTTATCAATCCAAGAGTGATGATACCCCCCCCAGGGACACCCCACTATGAATTAACCGGGGTTGCTTAATATGGGGTCAAGATGAAAGAACTTCGCAGTATTGGCTCACAATCTGAAAAGTAGAAGCTAATGTGAGTTTCAATAGGAACGAACCAGGAAAAGGGCGTAGCAACATTAAGCGCGTCACTCAGCTTCGCAAACGGGATAAGATTCTCCATGCTGTGGGGGTATGCGGTGTGCTGTGCGGGTGGGCCAAGATCATGAGCTATGGTGTAATTAGTCTTCCCGGCGGGTCGTGGCCATGGCAACGCTTGAAATTGGCTTGACCGCTAGGCACAGATCCTATAGCGCGACAAGTCTTCCAAATAACTTAAGTCATGGCCAGAGTCTGCGACAGGATTCTTGTTTTGCTCGGGGGTTCCTTTTTTGGGTTTATGTTAGGGGGAAAACCAGAAGGAAACCACCGAGTATGAGATGCCCGACAAAGCAAGTACTTGTTGGTGACTGTTTTTGTCTGCGCTTGTCCAGGTACAGGATTGGCGGGGTGGAGAAGGCACCCAAGTCAGGGCAGCCTCCCCCCTTCGAAGCACTGCAGTGCGGGGCCTTCAAGACCGCAGCCATCAAGGAACAGGCCTTGGGGCCGGGTTGGTTGTGCCATGGGCGGCTTTGAATGTGGAACCAAGGAATGTGACCCCGGAGACTTTTCTATGTTCGGCTTTCGGCGTTTTGCGCTGTGAGCCAAGCGTCCCGGACTCTTCGGCTGTGCCGCCTTGCGTCTGCCTTGGGCCTGGCAGGACCCCCCAAAATGGGTGGGTTCCTTTCGCTTCTTTTTCAGACCATCCCAACAACGGTACCCTCAAAAACAAAACCCCACATGGAACAACGGTCAACATGCACCATTCTCCATGGAAAGCACTTACCAAGCTCACGTGCGGGGAGACTAACGGATGTGGACTGTGGCTCACATGAAATCACTCTGGATGAGTTAAGGGCCCATCTCGGTGGCTGACCTGCACAAGTTGCCGTTTGCATATTTTCCCTGGCCAAGCTTAGAGCTTGAAATGGCTACATGATCTACATGGGCCCCAAGAAGCAACGGGTGTTCAAGGATCCTACAAACACTTGTTTTGTGGCTTGCTGTCCCCTCCCTGAACGCTCTGCTCGCAAGATTCTTGCTGGGCAGAACTTGTTCGTTGCTCACGCTTGTCTTTCAAGCGTCACTTGGGGCACCTTGGATTGTTTTCAAACAAAACCGTTGTCAAAATGACAAGTTTCAGCTGCCAGGGGGTGCTGAATGGGCGACCGAGTCAGTACGCTGCGGCCGCGAAGACCTTTCAGGCGAGGCCAAACAATGCGTACGCGTCAGAATGGGTCCACCCACCAAAAAACACTCCCCTCGACAAAACTCAGACCTTGCAGTATGTTTCTGCCCATGCAATATTCTTGTCAAGCTCGCCAATTCGGGGGTATGACGAGCTCACCATAATGCAGGTCCTATACTGGGGGATGCATAGTGTAGATGTTGGAATTTATAGTGGCAGGTTCATAAGGATTCAGATACTTGTTCCTTGGAGTGTTGTCTCAGGCCGACGGACGAAACAACAGCATGCCCAACGTTTCGACATATCCAAGCGCAAATGACAAGAGTTGAACTGAGTCGTTGATTCGTGTGAAGCAAGCGTACTTACTATGAAGAGTCCTCTCGCGAGTCAAATGCATCACCAAAGAACCTGCAAGCATCAAGAAGAGCCTGTAGCCCTGTAAACTCCACCCCCCTTCTTCAGGAGTTTTTGTGGGAGGTTCTCCAAATGGTGCCCCAAAGGGAACATTACCATCCCTGGGCCCTTAAAATACGCTTGACCCAATGATGGCATTCCTTGGTGGTTACATGAACCCGGTCATTTTTCAATGGTTCAACCCCAGGGGCCATAGAAAACGGATTCTCTTGAGACACCATCCTTCATGCCAGGGCCCGCCCACTGTGAAGCCGGCGGGTGCCATTGGGGATGCCCTGGAGAGCCTGGAGACGACGGCCTTCGAGTGAGCGAGAGAGGCGTCTCACCGCCCCATGCGAGTGGTTGGTGTTCTTCCAAATTGGCGTGTTTGGGAACCCCCCAAGTCAGGGGTCCCATTTTTTCAAAGATTGTTCTCGAAGAGTGGCTTTTTTTTTTGGACACCAGCAGTAAGAATGCAACTTTTGAAGGGGAAATCCAGTGACCCCTGTAAGTGAATGGTACAATAAACAACCCCCAAATGTGCAAAGGGTCCCCGATCATGAGTGTCAGACACAATTCACGTGGAAAGTACAGGGAGGACAAACAGCAAGTGGGACTTCAAGGCGACAGCAATGCATCAGGCGTACTTAGCCGCAGAAATCGTAGCTTGCAGAACGCCGCGCTTTGTCAGCTTCCAGGCTTCCATGATGGGAGCTAGCCAGTGCTTGCAGCAAAAGTGCGAAGGCGTTCAAGGTGTCGTTCAATCACCTGGTTGCTTGGTGTGTGGCAAGGGATGGTCACAATCATTTAGTCGGGATCTTAGACAGCGTTAACTTTAAGGACTAGCATTCAGAGGGAGATGTAGACCTCTCAAATTGCTCGTTTCTATTTGCCGCAGCTCCGTCGAGTTTGTCAAAGCTTCACCGGACACAGACTCTCTCAGAGAGCAAGCCCAGACAGAACAAGCCAAGCTTCCAAAGCAATGATCCGCTGCCAAAGGCAGGAACCGTGATGAGGCAAACGCCTTGAAAACGCTCACACAACAAGTCGATTTAAGCCAATTCCAACCTTCTGTCCCTTCCTTGAATTGAAAGATGACGATGCACGCCGGTGCCTCCCCGCCGGCTGCGCCGCTTCCTACCCCGGCGCAAACAAACGAAGAGACGGGGAAGGCGCTGCGGTGCGTCATGTGCTTACCAGAGAAGGGCTACGACCCCACGGAGTCGGCTGTGGCGTGGAAGATGCTCCGCGAGAAGGGCATCCAAGTTGTCGCTGCCTCGCCAAGAGGCCAAGAAGGAGCTGCCCCGCAAGCGGACCCCATCATGGTCGATGGCCAGGGTTTGTATCTCCTCAAGTGGAGCCTTCGCGCCGACGCCAACGGCCGGGCCGCCTACCAGGAGCTGGTCGAGTCCCGCACGTTTGACAACCTCGTGGCGTACAAGGACTTGAAGGTCGAGGACTTTGACGGCCTTTTGCTGCCAGGCGGGCACTGCCCCGACATGAAGCCTTACTTGGAAGACGAGACGCTCCAGCGCTTCGTCAGCGATTTCGCGAAAAGCGGCAAACCCATCGGGGCAATTTGCCACGGTGTCGTCCTGGCGGCACGGGCGGGCATCCTCGCTGGCAAGCGGGTGACGGCCCTCCCCTCCTTCATGGAAGACACGGCGGTTTGGCTCACCAAGCTTTGGATGGGCGACTACTACCGCACCTACAAAGGTACCACGGTGCAGAAGGAGGTCACGGAGAAGTGCGGGGAGTTTTTGCCCGGGCCGAGGGGCTTCGGCAGAGATTCGAAAGACAACCTGTCGCCGGGCTTCGTCGTGCGAGATGGCAACTTGATCACGGGCCGTTGGCCGGGCGATGCCCACAGCTTCGGGATTGCCCTGGCGGATGCGATGCGCTCGATGTCAGCCGTGAAGGAAACCACTGCAACGGATTGACAAGCTATCCTCACGCTCAATTGTTTCTGGAAAAGAAGAGCGCATACACCCTTGTGGCGTTCATTTGTTGGAAGTATTGAAGTTTGTTTGTTGATGTCGCGAGCTAATTATGGCGTTGTGGCGTGATGAGCGCGGTGTCTTTGTGCACGACTTGCTGTTTTCTGACAGCCCATCAAGAACTTCTGCTTCACAGCTGATAACTTTGCCCCTTGGATGAGGTGGTTTCCTTTGGGTTTGAAACCAAACCGAAATGTGCTTGCTCACTAACCCAGGGATGCACCCTCATCAGACAGTCTTCTTCGCATGCGGTCCTTTGTGAGGCGTCCTTTTTTGTCAGCTACTGTCAAGTTGAGGGAATGCCGCCAAGCGGTCGGCTTCCTGCTCGATTATTCTTTGAAGTGGTTGTGACCTATGTTGCATCGCGCTTTGCATGGACAGCGTGGGTGCTTGGACACGAATGGCTAGGACGCCTTCAGATTGAGTGTGCTCCACGTCAGAAATGTTCATGGCAACATCATTCAGTACACGTCTTTTCTCATTAGATGAACCTGCCACTTGAAGCGACCAGGGAGAACTGGGTTGTCACTCCGGTTGGTGGTCCTCGGTCCTAAATGATGTTGCCAGGAAAGCCTGTTTTGCCTGCCTTGCGAGGCATAAGAGTTCAGCCTAGAGTGGCAGCGACTCGCCGTCCTTGGGAGCATGTGCCAATTGCCAGAGGAAAGTATCAGGGGGATCCGCTTGGTTTTGAAGAGATGAACCAACCGCGGTCGAGTTGTTGAGAGTGAGTGCGCAAAGCTTGTGCGGAGTTTCCTCCAAGACTAATACATAATACATATATATATATATATATACATTATAAGCAGATCGAGTAAATTGTGAAACACAATCAGAAATTCCCTCAGTTGGTGCACGAGTTGTGCCAAATTTGTTTCCTTGCTTCGTGTCTGTGCGCTTCCGGCATCCCTCTCAAGCTTTGGGCTGTGCGCAATATGCCCTTCATGGAGGCGAGACATCACGTTTGCGTGCGTTTCTGGGTTGCGACTTGCGCGGCTGTAAGCATTGTGCTTGGGAAGTCATGCTGGATGAACAGCAGCAAGTTCTCTTGCTCTGGCTTAGAAACACAGGGCTTTCTCATCTAACCATCAACTTGTCTCATTCCACATTATGCCAGGCAAAGTTACATAGTGTGCAATGTCTTGGGTGCTTTCCAAGCATTGAGGATCACGTGTTTTGCGACTCAAAGCATCCGCAATAACTTGTTTTTTCACTTTCAGGGCACGGCCGTAGGAAATGTGGCGGCTTGTATCTCGGAAACGATTGGCTCCTTTGGGTTTAGGGAGGGTCCGTTCAATAACATCAACCCTAGGGTTCCTTGCCCGCCTTAGGACCCTAGATGACAATCCTGAACGGCAAACATTGGTGGCCGAAGGTTCACCCAACCATTGTCTTTGGGGAACTGAACCCCAGGGTCAATCCACAATCAGATTCCTGATTTTCCTTCTAGTCCTATCATCCCCACTAGTCCGATCGTGGTTGCTGCCCGTTCCGGGTTACTATGCCCCTAGCACCGCTTCTGTGGGATGGAACTGGACAAATTACTCACCGGATTGGTAAAACGAGCTCACCCAATGAAGGCTGCATCAAGGTGCCATACTGTGGGCTTCATTTTAGTTTGCGCAACTCAAGCTGACCTTTTGACCTTTTGGTTTCCCAGTTTTGGTTCATATTTTGGTCGAGGTCCCAAAAGCTTAACCTGTTATTGCCAGGCCCTTTGGGCAACTGAGGCAACAGTCATCCCAGAAATCCTCCAGTTGGGGAGTCTCATAGTCATCCTCCTGCAAACAAATGGCTGTGGCTCGAAAAGCTGGTACCAAAATGGACCCCTGGAAAGTGGAAGCATGACCCGAAGCCTGCGGGAGGGGCCCCTCCTTGACTTTGAGCCACACCCAAATCCAGTTTGGCCCATCTGCAAGTTGCCATGAGAAAGCTCTCAGGTAGGAGGAGTAGTGGACTTGGCCACGCCTGAGAAGGCCGGACAAACAGAGGGAAGTCACTCTGCCTTTGGCTTATAGGCATTCGTGTGTGTTTGTTTTGGGGGAACCCATTTTGGTTGGTCTAGCCCCAAAGGACATTTTGTATATGCATGTATGCATATATATATATATATTGGGGGGGTCCCCTAATTTGTGACACGAACCCATACATCAAAGCCGGCGAATACTACTGGGGTATGTGTTTTGGGTGCATACTACTGTGGATAGATGAAATCCTGCACCACCTAGAAAACCCTGGAATGATTCGATTCCCCTGTAAATACCAACAAACAATGGTTTCCCATGGTTTCCAAGTGGTGCGAACGGATTTCGTCCATCCACAGGATGGATCCCTCACTGGATCAGGCTGCGTTCCCCCACCTGACAGGCTGATCGACACTTGTCAATGACTGCACAGGCGACTTCATTGCTTCCACCGTTCCTCTTAGTTTTCCTCTTCACCAGTAGCTACGGCTACCCTTGACCGCCAAGTCAAGGAAGCCATCAAGGCCCAGCTTACCTCTGCTTGATGCTTTAGATTGGTTGTTTGGAGGGGGACTGTTTTGCCATTTGAAGAACTAAACAGGAAACCTTACCCCGGATTTTAATCTACTCAGCGGCCCAATGACATAAGCCATCATGAAAGCTCCATCTGGCTCTGTCTTGTTTTGAAGGTACTCTTGCTGGTGTATGCTTGTTTGAAAAGGAAGCCCAAAGGAAAACACTCATTGTGTTTTTGTGGGGATATTTGAGACAAACGCATCTCTGTCGGAACTAGCAAACTAGACACAGCTTTCTCGTGTTGCCTTAATCTTTGGTCAGTTTCCAAGCCTTCGTGTCCAGTAATCTATGTTTAACCTTCTTGAAAGATCGACTTATTGCCAGGTGCTGACAAGTGAGATGACCGTTTTGGACATGTATGGTTCCAAAACAGCACGTTATTGAGGCAGCTACCCCCATGATTTCAGCTTGCTACATACAGCTTGCTTCAGATTGCCTACGATTTCCTATGCAGTTTCCATGGCCCACAGAACTGGAAAGCAGCACCACAACAGTGCGACAAAAGTGCCACCAATCTGCCCCAGGCTGACCAGGCCGCTAAACTGCAACGACCAAGCAACTGACAAGGGGCGCCTTAGAACAACGAGTAGCTGGCAGCATTACATTGCTGGCATGCACTTGAAACGCAAGTGCGCAATTTTGAAGTCTGCTTGTGGATTGAGGTCGGGCCGGCCCCAGGTTCTTGTTGTCCCATGTTTTCCCTTTCTTTTCGGGTCCAATAAACAGGCAAGGCTTCGAGCGAACATGCCCAGCAGCACACCTGCGCCGCCTGAGGGCCTGGTTCGCTGGTCGCCCTCCTTGCCGCGCACACCGCAAGGCAGGCCCTTGATCCAATGCATCTTGACGTGGGGGTTCCGCAACGGACAAATCACCTGCCAAATCCGCAGGTGACGTTTTAAACTGGCCTCAAATGTATGTTTTAAGCAATCTTGGGGCAGGTCTATGGTGTGGATGCCGATCTAATTTGCCCATGGCAATGCTTTATAGGGTTGGCGGGGGACTCTCTCGAGTTGAACAGCAGGACCCTCATTCTCCCAGACCCGTGAGAGGAAGCTTCCGCATGTTTTTTTTCTTAGTTGAAAAGCTTTTGGTTTGCGACCTCACCCATGTAGGTTGCTCCAGATATGACGGGGTTGTTGTGTGAACTCCATGTCTTGGATTTGCTTATGTTGCCCGGAAGGCGGAAAGAGTTAGCGCGGCTGCAGGTGCTGGACGGTTCTTGGTTGCCGATTGTCGATTGTTGCCATCCGATCATTGGCCAATGAACGTTAACTCAGCGAGCCCTCAAGACACGCATTTCACGCTGCCAACCTCGCAGGTGCTGCGAGTGCTGTGGAGGCAGAGTCGAGGGAAAGACGTGCGGAATTGCACCATGCTACCCATTTGTGTTCAGCAGTCACTCTCTGGTTGGGAACAGTTCATTATTGTTAGACGGCAAAAGCGGGGCACGAATTGCGTTCCAGTGCAGCACATCCCTACAGAGTACATGAATCTTTTCGTGCAAGTGGTGAGCTTGATTTTGCCACACCTGCACCTTTGGTAGTCAGGGCTTCGTTGAAGATGAATGTAGCGTGCGCTGTTTCGTGCCAGTGTGACAATCAGTGTTGCTTTGATCTAAGACAATTTGTTTGTCCCAGTTGCTAAGGGGCAATGATCATGACTGCAATTGTAGCTAAACTAAGCAAACGAGATGTTATTTCCATTATATCGTCGTTGGCAATCTTAAGCGCAGTGAGTGAATCTCCGGTCTGATGAGCCCAGGCTGACATCCAGGACTCTCCCAGGTTACCTTCTGACTGGTCGCCCTTGGAGTACGAGCTACTCGAGTGCCCCCCGCGTTCCAACGAATCGGTGGGGTTGCCTCGCGAGTTGAGACCCTTGGACCATATAATTCTTTCAAAGGGTGTACTTTATGCTAGAAACTCTAGATTCGTTTCAGATAAATTGGAACTTGGTTTCACTTATCCATGTGATGGTAGGCACCCTCCAACAAGGACGAGCCAACCCCCGGGTCCGTTTGCTTTCCAGCAGGATGCCGGGATATGTCAAGCGACAGGCAAACCCATTTTCGTCGTGTCTTGGCTTGGCAAGTAGCTGATGTCTACTGTATATTATCCACGTTAACACTTGTGCGGCAAAGGACAACACAGCGGAGGACATGTCCAATCAGCCTGCCATGCACCTGAGGCTCAAAGTATGCATGAGTGAAGGTACATCCTTCATATCCTTCCTTGGATGGGCATGTATGTTGGTTATTGTTTTGGTGTGTGTGTGTGTGCGCGTGTCTGTGTTTTTGTGATGATTGCCTCTTTCGGGTTTGTGTTGGAGGGCTTGCCCTCCTTGCAGCAACTTACAACCAAGTTGCAAGCCGACCTTTGGACCTTGCAAACATGCGTGGTTCAATCAGGGTCAGGTTGAGGTTCAATCAGGACCTTGGATGGTTGAAAGACATCCGCGCCAATTGTGCGGTTCCGTATAGTTTGCACAGCCCCATGTTGCGTTTTGTTATAGAATTATAGGGTCATGATTCAGAGCGTAACCTTCCTTTCCAAGCCCTGTTGGACACTTTCCGTATACCCCACTCTCAAGACCCTTTCCAAGGGTGGAGGCCGTTGGCTTTGACTTGCCTTAGTAAAGCTTAGTGAACTAACTGCTTTTGGGGTCTGCTCACAAAACCATTTTGTATATATGTATATATAAGCAGACTAGGTATGGAACAACATCTGAACAAACAAAAACAAAACGGTTTTGCACCGGTGGTCCAAGGGTTTATGGCGCTAGCGGCTTCTGGGGTGCTTGGATCTTGCCTCTCGAGGTATGCGGATTCGCTGCCGCCGGGCTTTGCAGAGCGTATCGCCAGAGAGCTGGAGGCCACCCACCAGCTAACCAACCAACCAACTCTATGGTGCATGTTGCTTGGATGTTAGGACTTTATTTTGTTTGCCAACTCATGAAATCACTAAAAGTTAAACTTTAGCAGGGGAGCAGAACACAACCGAGAACCAGCCATCTAAAGGATGATATGTGTCCCATCTCTGTGCGGCACACTTCGACCAACGCCTTCCGACGCAGGGCCAGCAGCAGCGAGTGGCGCAGCTGCGGAGCTTGAACTCTCTGATGCTCCATGTGCTGCGCTGCGAGGCGAGGTGTTTTTTGAAAATTGCCGCAAAGCAGCGGAGTTCGAACAATTCTCTTCTAAAGCACTCCAAGGGCTTTGACAAATATGGGCATTTGGGGAATGGTCTCACTTCAAAGTGCCTCCAACCTGTTGACCTTCTTCTCAGTTTCTTGGTCTCTGTTTGGTGCAGGTCCATGGTCATCACCTTTTATTCGAGGGTTTGGGCAACTCAGAATGCACCTTTTATTGCAGGGTTTCTGAGAATGTGGGGTGATTAGGCCAAAAATCAAATCGACCCACACTTGAACACCAAATCTGACCGGCATCTCGCGTCCAGTTCCCTTGTGGCACCTGAGGCCCCTAGCCCCGTGCCGAGCTCAGGGAACGACGAGGGACCGAAGCCTGGAGGGCTGATCTGTGGATACTTGCCGTGGATTAAGCAATGTGGATGGACAAGATCCGTTCACACCTAGGAAACCAAGGGAAGCAATCGAGGAATCATCATTCCAGTGGACTCTTGGGATTTGTGTACTTGGTGTTTCCCAGCCATGCAGGCTCCTTAGGTTTTGGTCGCTTTCTAGCGCTAGCAGGGGACCTGAGGACAGCCCAGAGCAATGTGACTTCGTTTGACGGTAATGTTGTTTTGTGTTAGGGAGGCCAAAAGGAAACCTCCAATTTTGGGAGGTTTACCCCTCTTGGAAACTAATATGGATGTTCTGAGCCAATCCTTTGTCAGCTCATTCGAAGCTTTGCCTGCCAACCAAGCCCATGGCTCTAGAAATATCATTTACTTTGCTGGGGGCTTTATAGTGGGTGAGCATCTTGAGATGCTGGCAACGCAAGAGTAAAACTGCAATGTTTGACCTACCTGCTTTCCCATGGAGGTGTTGTTCATAGTTGCTTGACGGCCCGGCAGTTCGTGTCATATCTCCAGCGGGCTTGGCTATCAGTTGATGTCCGTTTGCCGACCCAGGGTAGGTACTGGTAGCACCTTCCAAGCCACTCCATTCGGCAGACGCTCTTAAATTTGGAACTAGGTCGTATGCAGCACATCTTGACCCACCAGGTAGTAGCATTTCGCTCTCCGAGCCAGCCAGTGAGGCACGCACTGCAAATGGTGTTCTGCCTTACCGTGGAACAGCCTTTCTGAAACGGGGCCGTATCTGGGATAGGGGACTCATGCCCGAGGGCATTGGTTCGCCTCGGAAGTTGAACCAGAAAACTTGGACCGCCAGGAGGTAAGGAGCATGCCAACCATTTGGAGTCTGGGGTTGAATTTGAGGAAGGTCCGGCTAGCACAGTCATGATCTTCAGCAGGCAACAGCCCTTGGGTTTCTGTCTTTCTTGCAGGAGAATCCCCTGAAAGATAACTTTGGTGACTGAGGGGTTGAAAACAGGAACCCGGGGGGTGTGAGAAGGCTCACAGAAGTGGTCAGAGCTTTGCTATCAACCAAGGAAGCCAAGAAAGAACAAGGGAAACCACGGGAAAACAAGGGAACACGAGAAGGGGAAAGAAGGGAAAAGAAGGGAAACCGCAAGGGAAACCACGGAAAAAAAGGGAAACAAAGTCCAAGCCTTCCTTCACTTAGGCTTCAGCGCCCACGACGCCAGCAGTCAAGGCGCAAAAGCCGTGACACTCGACGGGTACACGGCTGTGTCAAAAGGAATCTGGAAGCGAATTCGGGAAAGGGTCAGCATCTAACAAGGCTTGCGCATGCGAGGTCTGAGAGGCTTGCGAGGCCTGCGATCCAGTTTCGCCAGCTTGAAGGAGGAAAACCAGCGGGAAAAGCTTGGGTAAAATTCAATCGGTTGCCGAATGTACGGTGGTATCCGTATCCATTGGGAAGGGTGGATTGCTGAGGACCCACCCTTGCAATGTTCAACTCAGCATGGGGTCCAACCAAGCTTCAGGAACGTGTCAAGCACTCGATCATGCGGCAGGATTTCCCGGAAAGCAAGCCACCAAAATTCATTTTAGCAGCTGCCCCCATTCAACGCCATATCCAGATCCGCTTCCACTCCCAGAATTTATTCCGAACGTTTTCCCTTGTCTTGCTGGTGCTAAGTATGGAATGACCAAGGGTTTGGGAATGAACCGTTTGGCGAGATTCCGACAAAAGGAAACCACCAGTTGGACGGTTTCGGGTCATTCCGTTTCTCATTCCCTGCCTATCGCACGCACAAGCAAAGTGACGGCCGCAGGCGCAGTTCCGGAAGGACCCTTCGCCCCCGAATCCTCCTCCAATGCCCAAAGCCTGGCAGGACGGGAGGGCTGGGGGTGCGGGTGGAAAAGGGGGGGGCTAGAGGTGAGCCTCAGGAGGCCGAAGTGCTGATATTTTTTAAAGTTTTGGGATTTGGACAAGATACCACACAGAATGTATCTATAACCTGTTTGCATTTATACATAATATATATATATATATAGATTGCGTCTCGCTTAGGCAGCCGCGAGTTGGTTGGCTTGGTCTGCTCTCAGCAAGTTGGAACTTATATTTTCCTGTGGTGGGGCAAATGGCTGGTTGACCGGCTGCTTTTAGTTTGGAACCAACTGTTTTGAGAGAAGCCGTGTTGCATGACATGAACCAATCAATTTCCTTTCCGAATTGCAAACAGAGCTAGCTTGGCAGAGGGGGAGCAACCTCGTCAAACGCCAAGAAGCATATGGGCAGTAGTAGTTCTTAGGACTGGTTTCCTGTTGATTTCCCATCCAGATCGGCTTCCTATGTCGAGAATGTACTTCATGGTTTGAGTCCTTGGTTCGCCAGCTTGGTTTATCTGAATAGTCTGAGAAGATCATGCATTATTTGCGTTCAAAAACTGGCATGACATGTTCACTAAGATCCCCTGGGTAGCACAGAGCAGTTGCTCTTAGACCGCCCTGGTTGCAGCTGTTCTCATTCAGGAATCTGGTCAGGGGTACACTTGTAGGTGTTGGTTCAACAAACACGGCCAAGCCCAAGGTGGAATGGGCGCTCACGAAACCTGGGAGCCTCTCTAGATGGGATGGTGGTTTGGTTTCGAGTTGGATACGGGGTTCCTAGTTTCGATGCTTTTAACACATTCCCAAAATGTGGGATAATCACAACAAGACCGGACTTTTCTGGCTGAAATGGGGCTTTCTCAAAATAGGGGTCCATTTCCTAGATTTGTGTGGTTTCCTTTTGGTTTCCTTTCAACTTACAAACACACAGAGTTCCACCATATTGAGAGACTCCCAAAAACTCCCCGTGCCTCGGATTCGGATTCCATGAGGTTCTTCAGTCCCAGGCGCGGGGGTTTTGCGCAGGATGCCTCGATGAGGTTGGCCCACTTGCCGCCCAACTGCCGGGAGGAGGCATCGGAAGCGGCGCGTGGCACGCGGCTGAGTTCTGTTGCCGGAAACTGCGTGGCTGTGGGTCAGAACCAATGGGATCCCATTTTGGGGTATTTGCACCACCCATTTTAGAACCTATTTTAGTGGGGATTCACTGGGGGTACCGGATTTTGACCCATGGCTACATTACTGCCAAAAAGTTGTAATCTACATGGTTTGTTTCTGGGCACCATTGACATGTTTTTCAAGCGCGAATCTTGTGCTTGAAAGTCAAATGAGCCAACAGCAACGTTTCGAAACCTGCTTCGTGGAGGTGAAGCTGATTTTTGCAAATCAGAGGAGCAAGGCATGCGATCAGTCCGTTGTGATGCGGGCGAAGGTTTGGCCAGTTTGAAAATCAGGAAGGAGGTGGGTTGTTATCCTCTCTTGGGCATGGCCATGAATATCAGTGGGGGATCCCCTCGAAAATGGTTAATGGGCATGAAGCCGATGTAAATGAGGTCCAAAAGCAGTTCGACCTTGCTCGTGGAACATGCTCGAAAGAATCCCCAGGCCCTTTTTGCTTTCAAACGGTCGAACCAATGTAAAGACTTATCACAGGGTTCAGAAGAAGCGCCACTACAAATCCTGGTTTCAGAGAGCAACACATGCACGAGGGTCGCCGTTTGAGAGGAAACACTCATGTCAGCTGCCCGCGGGAGGACGGGTCTTTTGGAGGAGACCGTGTAAGGTTGCACATCGTTGCAGTGCTTTCCTATGCCGAAAAGCAATGGGCAGTTTGGCTGAGCGTGCGGAAGAAGGCGGGTTTCCACCGTTGAGCTTTGTACCGAACTGGCTTCGACTGAAGTGGGGACATGTTCACTTGACCATGTCGAAAGCCATCGGGGAATTGGCACATACTTTGGATGGAAGAAATCCTGCACCACCTAAGAAGCCCTGGAATGATGATTCCCCTGTAAATACCAACCAACCATGGTTTCCCATGGTTTCCAAGTTGTGCGAACGGATTTTGTCCATCCGCAGTATATCCCCCCCTCCCCCCGGCCAGGTCTCCCGGCGTTTGGTCTTGGCGTCTGCCTCCAGACAGCTCGAGATGCAGGTCCTGGAGGTGCGTACCCGGATTCGAGTTGACGTTGCTTGGTGGCTACCGGCCATCCCCTGAGCTTTTTAACCTTTTAGTGTTTAGTAGTAGTTTCCATTTAAACCACTAAATGTTAAACTTTTAGCGGGGGATCTGAGGGCAGCCCAGGTTGGACCCCCAGCCGTTTGGGCCCCAACAGGTAAACTGAAAGAAAAACAGGATGCAGGACCCTCAACATTGGTTGGAGTGGACAATCCCCATAGTCCCAGAGTGATGCCCACCAAGGGCCCGCAATTTGAAATCCATTCTGAGTAGCGTTGGTCTTGCTCCTGATGCCGAAAGCATTGAGTCAATTGAACATCATTCACAAAAATGGTACCTCTTTGCAGTCGTGAAAGTCCAGTGGGCTTGCCCTAAAACGGAGTCCACGGAGGATGAACACATTGTCAACGATTTCAGCGTTGCGCTGTTTGCGATTCTTGTGTGTTTCGCTTGCTTGGTCGGGTGGCAACCGTGCTGCAAATTAGTCAATGCTACTGCGTGAAGGTGCAAGCAGACAACTTCCACGCAGGGACTGTGCCAATGCAGTCCTACGTGCCGAGACGGTCAGGGGCATAGGATGTATCTTGGTATGTGAATTTGCGGGAGCCTGTTTGGCTTGATTCATATGCAGGGAAACCAAGAGGAAAGCAACTACTTTGCGGGGGTCCCCTATCTTGAGAGTGTCCCTTTCTGAGGTTGTCAAAGCCGTTTAAGTTTTGACATCCCAATCGGCCGCACACACACACAGACACACACTCACGCACGCACGCACGCACGCACACGCACACGCACACGCACACACGCACACACACACACACACACACACACACACACACACACACACACACACACACACACACACACACCCACCCACCCACACACACACACACACGCACGCACGCACGCACGCACGCACGCACGCACGCACGCACGCACGCACGCACGCACGCACGCACGCACGCACGCACGCACGCACGCACGCACGCACCCACACACACACACACACACACGCACACACACACACACACACACACACACACACACACACACACACACACACACACACACACACACACGCCCACGCGCACGCGCACGCGCACGCGCGCACGCGCACGCGCACGCGCACGCGCACGCGCACGCGCACGCGCACGCGCACGCGCACGCGCACGCACGCGCACGCGCACGCGCACGCGCACGCACACGCACACGCACACGCACACGCACACGCACACGCACACGCACGCACGCACGCACCCACACACACACACACACGCACACACACGCACACACACACACACACGCACGCACACACACACACACACACACACACACACGCACACACACGCACACACACACACACACACACGCACACACACGCACACACACGCACACACACACACACTTATCTCGAGAGGCTTCACTAGCCGAGATGGAAAAACGCAGTCAGTAACAATGCTTGAATGCAAATGCAAATCAACAGGTCACAACATCGACACCGAACAGGAAGCAACAGCGGCAAACAGAAACCGCAAAAGGAATCAGGAAAGAGGGACCAAAAGGACGTTCAGAACATCACGACTTTCTCAAATTGCAGGTACGTCCACATCGCGTCCGACGTGGATTTCACATCCTCTACAGCAGCGTCTTTGTTAGGCAGCGACTGCTGTAGGGACCACTGCCCCCCTGCTACTTAAAGTTTTGCGTCCGTGCTCCAGGACGGTTCACACACACAGGGCCCCGAGTGGGGCGAGCTCACTTATGCATGTAGCAACTGATTCACACATGACCTGTGCCTCACAAAGGCTGCCTTGTCGGTCCAACTCATGTCAATGCAGGTGTCGCTCAAACGTGAATGAATTTGAACTGATCTGAGTCAGCGCAGAGCGTGAATCAATGAACTGCAAAGTCGGTGTCTGACCGGCTTGTCACTCGCGCATGAAGCTGCCGGAGCCTGACACCTCATGAGAGCTGCCTTGTTCAAAACGCAGGCAGTGCAATGCGAATGAAGCTGCCGGAGCCTGATACCTCATGAGAGCTGCCTTGTTCAATATGCAGGCAGTGCAATGCGAAGGCGAACTGAACTTGAACTTTTGAACGTCATCCCCTCGCAGGGGGCTCCCGCATATGGCGAGTCCAGCCCACAGCGCCATGTCGGACAGGCCGTGGGTAAACACACTTATCTCGAGAGGCTTCACTAGCCGAGATGAAAAACGCAGTCAGTAAAAATGCTTGAATGCAAATGCAAATCAACAGGTCACAACATCGACACCGAACAGGAAGCAACAGCGGCAAACAGAAACCGCAAAAGGAATCAGGAAAGAGGGACCAAAAGGACGTTCAGAACATCACGACTTTCTCAAATTGCAGGTACGTCCACATCGCGTCCGACGTGGATTTCACATCCTCTACAGCAGCGTCTTTGTTAGGCAGCGACTGCTGTAGGGACCACTGCCCCCCTGCTACTTAAAGTTTTGCGTCCGTGCTCCAGGACGGTTCACACACACACACTACGCATCGCCTTAGGTAGACTTCCTGCGTGCCGTCGTGGAGCATACTTGTTGGATTATATGCCTCAATGGGGGGTGGGGGTGGAAACTCCCAAGATACCAGGCATGGCGCATCAGTGAGTCAGGTACGCCGCGCTGCCGAGCAGGAGCTCTATGATCTCGCCAGCCGCGCTCGTGTGGCAGAGGACCGGCAAAGGGTTCCGACCACCATAAGTAAAGTCAAAGTGAGTCTGTTCTGCCATTTGCTTACAAGAATAATAGGTTTCCCCTGTTGGTTGTAAAAATAATCTACCACTGCTGGCAATGCATGTTTTGTTGTTTGTCTCCTGGAAGCTTATGCAAATGGAATTGTTGGATTCTCACTTGCTCAGTCGCACATGTGTTCCTTTTGCATGGGATAGGCTTCTCTCTGTATCAACCAACAAATCAATTTGCTCCTTTGAGTGCCCACTGGGCAAGTAGACTTATGGTCTCGACCTGAGCTCTGGGGCCAGTTATTCTTGTCCCTGGTGACTGTTAAAGGGTACTGAAACAATATATATATATATATATCATTTTTGCCTCCAGAAAGGGGGAAAATAACAACAAAAGCGCTTTTAAATTGACCAGCCAAACCAGTTAGCCATAAAAACACGAACAGTGACACGCCAGTTTGTTCTAAGCATGAGCTACAAAAGCCCGACCCTTTGCCAAGCCTTGGTTGGGGCCTTTTTCAATCACGACCTGCTAAGTCCCCCTTGTGGAGTTGGTTGAAATGGGAACCACAAAAAAATCCATTCATTTATTGGTTTGGGCCTTCCCAGGCACATTGACACGTGCCATGCGCTTGGTAAGGATGGTTAACTTCATTTTTTCCGGGCAGTTGCAATCAATCTAAAGCGTCCCAAGGGAACGTCCCACTTCGGTCGAGGAGAGCAACTGGAAGCTCCGCAGAGAGCAGAACAACGAAGATGCCGGCAGAAAGAACCTCTGGGAGGCCTGGTGCATGGCCACAAAGAAAAAACTGAGGTTATTCTTGCTTGTTTCTGTTGTCCATGGGCTGGTGGAAAAACATAGCCCCCCCTCCAAAAGAAAGGCGTTTGTTGTTGTTGTTTTATTGCTGGCCCCTTTTTATATTAGTCAAAGTCATGCCCCAAGTGGTAGGTGTTAGTTCCACACTACCCCAGTTTTGACTTTGACAGCTCCAGCAGCAGCCAACATCATAACGCCTGTATTGGTTGTTTATGTGCCATGGGCTAGTGGAAATACGTAGCCCTTCAAACTGTTGGCTGGCGGAACAATCGCTGGGTCCGACCTCCACAATGACCAACAGGACGCTTAGATGAGTTTGGAGGCCTATCCCTTGATTTCCTCCAAACAGAGAAGCCTTTGGAGGCTTGCGTAAGATCGGTGATTTTATTATCGAGACATTGTCCTAAAAGCGTGGACCCCTTTTTAATAGTTGTGCAAGGGCAACAAGGAGCAATCGTACATCATCTCGCTCGATGGCACTTCACAAACACGCTGTTTTCCCACTCCATTTGGCCGCAGACTGGGCTTCCGGCACAAACAAAAACCAAACAAACCAAACAAAACGAAATGCGCATCATTGTCCTTCTCTCCTCAGCCTTTCCTTTCTCAGGCCTCCTTCCACAAACTTGCCCTTGATAAGCCAAGGGTTGCAGCATTCGCGACAGGTCACACTCCCGGCGCGATAGTCTCGGTATGTTTATTTACCATGCCATTATCATGGAATGTAGATATATATATATATATTAATATATATATATATATATACACCTACAGGAATGTCTGCATGACTCGGTGATGGCAACGATTTCCGCCGGCTCAACATATTTAGACGATTCACAGGCTTGATACAATGTGTAGTTCGGTCGGGCAAGCATTCGGGCTTCCAAAGGTGCAGCCATCGCCAGACTGTTTGCGACATCCAGGGCTCCTGTGATGCTTGCTTAGGCAACACGCAAGTGTCATGCCTACCGTCGGCCACCCGCGAAAGCGCCTTGAATCTCGATTGATTTGATGGCTTCGCGAACTGGGAAATTGGCGTTGACCAAGCCCCTGTCCAGCATCTGCCATGTCTGAATTTCCAAAGTGAAGACCATCTTTGTGTCTTATGCCTTTCAGTGAACGGGCAATGCCTGAATAGGCCCCAGAGATGACGAAGCGAGCCGACAGGCAGAAGCAAAGCTCAATAAGCTGCAGACTCGTCCCAGCCCCAGCATTGGAAAAGCTGGATCAGCCGATTGCAGGGGCATCTTGATTTTGGGAGGATGGGCAGTGATATGTGAAACCGTGGGCTCTTCTTGAAAACTATAGTATTTCCCAACCACACCGCTTCACAGGATTCACAGTCAACACAAGCCACCAGGGACAATCCATCCTCCAATCCTCCATATTGGCATATTGATTTCAATCTGGGCAAATTATAGCGACCTCACAACGGACCTCGCCCATGAAGGTGCCTTGGTGGGTTTCTTACAGGTTGGTGAATGATAGTTCCCGCGAATTTCGGGGTAAACCCTTCCGGATTTCACTTGCGCAAGAGCCGCACGGCACACTTTTGCAATTGGTTACCCTGCCTCCCATTTACATGGCACCTGAAAGAGGGCCCCTTAAGGAATTTGATCTTCCAGGTATGCCATGTTATGAGGAAGGGTAAGCCTTGGTTTCGATTGGCGTTAGATATAAACTGCGCTAGGGAATAAATGGGAAACCCAGCTTTCAAATCACCCAAACCAGTTGGAGGGAAGCTGATACGCTCCTCACGGCGAAGCCTCGCAGCTTCCACTCAGTGAGTTCTTTGGTGTCACCCAAACTGCGAGCGTCGTGCGTGAGTCTAGGTAGGCGCCCTTCGTCATTGTCCAAGTGGGTCGTTAAAGGATGGTTCCCCTGGTCATCGCAGGTAAATGGATCCACTGGCACTACCCAAACCCATTTGTGAACTGTTTTTGCAACATGTGAGGATAGCCAGAGGACAAACACGAGCCAAAAGCCCAAAGACCGAGCAAGCACCAAAGAAAACACAAGGCAACGGATACATACACCAAGCAGAATGGCCCTCCCTTCCTTTCGGGGTAGATGTCCTGTTCATTGAAAGCTCATTCGGAGTTTGCTTGTCGAGCCAGACTAACACCCGAATGAACTTCAACATGCGGGCAGTAGAGACACTTTTGCTTCAGGCCGAGACGCAAAGGGCAGGTGTTTGCGGGGGCCGGCTTGGTAGGCCCGCCTGCGAGGGCTGAAATCTGGTTTCGCCAGCGTGAAAGGGGAAACCAGCAGGAAAAGCTGGGGGGGTAATAGTCAATTGGTTTGCCGAATGTACAGTGGTATCCGTATCCATTGGGAAGGGTAGTTTGCTGAGGATTCAACTCAAGTTATGAACCCTTGCACTTTCAACTCGGCATGGGGTCCAACCAAGCCACGGAAATATGCCAGGCACTCGCTCATGTCGCAGTCTTCCCTGGCAAGCAAGCCACCAGAGAAGTTTGAGCAGCTTCCCCCATCCAAAGCCAGATCCAGATCCGCTTCCACTCCCAGGTTTTCTTCCAAACGTCTTCCCTTTTCTTGCTGGTGCTCAGGGAATGACCCAGGGTTTGGTAATGAGCCTAGTTTTTCCTGGGGTCATTCCAACTCATTCCTTGCTGAGATCCAGCAAGTTCTTCCATCCGCTTAAAATCCCAAAGTTTCTTCCAAGCTTCTGGTTTTCTCCCACCCCTTGGTTTTTTCCAAGTTGTTTTTCGTGTGGTTTCTCTTCCTCCCCCTTTGCACCACCGGCATCCCGACCGAGGCGTCCAGCAGCTGGAGGCCCGGCGCCGCAACGTGCAGCGGAAAGCCTTGCAGCGCGAGGAGGAGGCTTCGACGGGGCGGCGGCTTGGTCTCCGAGGAGCCAAACGGGTGGCTCGTCGGTTGGTGAATGTTGTTGGGTTGGGAGGGCGGACAGCCGTGCAGCCCCTCCAGTTTCTCAAACCGCAGGAAGACCACCATGGGTCCCCGAAAAAGGAAATCAAGAAGACAACCAGCACGCCCGAATTGGGTCTGTCGTTTTGCAGGTTGGACTCGACAAAATGACGCAACCGTTGTCCTCTTGGTTTCCATTTGAAACCGGAAAATGGGTACCCGCTCAAAAAGAAAAAGACACTGCCTTATGCTTAGATCCAAGTCTTTTTGGGAAAGTGTCAAGGGGGCCAGAACAAGAAACCGTGCTGAGTCCGTCAGGTGCCCTTTGAACCAACCCCAAAAGGAACCCTAAAAAGCAAACACTCACTGTCACTCACTCGCTCACACACACTTTTTCACTTACTCACTCCTCGCTCTGCGCTCCACGCTCCACACTCTCCACTCCACTCCACTCCATCCTACTCCACTCCACTCCACTGCACTCCACTCCACTCCATCCCACTCCATTCCATTCCACTCCAATCCACTCCACTCCGCTCCACTCCACTCCACTCCTCTCACAAAATGCAGGTTTGGGACTTATTGTAAGATGTGCAGATCCATTGGAGCACAAGGCTGGTGGCTGGTGAGTTCGCCCCAGTAGTAAAGACCTGAAACTGCGTTTTGGACGGCAAGCAAAGAACGTGTTTGTCGGTTATATAGTTATTGTGACGCATGGCGAACCAGCGCGGATTTCAATGCCAAGCACTGGGGCAGTGCTTGGGAATGTCAAATGGCGAGTGCTCTTTGTGTTGCTTCGAATACCCCAGACTAGCGGCAAACAGGGAAACAACTAGTTCAAGGTCGAAATCAGGCAACCTTTGCCTAATTGGTGGTTTGATTTTTTTCGGGATTTGAACCCCTGTTTCTTGGGAAAGGATTGGGAATCACCCTTCATCCCCGAACCACCAGCCCAAACCAACTAGATGGAAGCTGACCAACCGCAGGAAGGGACCTTTGACACTGAGAAGCACCTGGTCACCTAAAACAACTCCATGAACTACCTGCAAAAGGCTTCTAGTGGCTGAAGGCGATTATCAAACAATTTTCCCCTGCTATATGATCAGACTTGTCAGTTTGGTACTGTTCTGAAGCAACTAGCTGTAGGTGTACGGGGTTGAATAGGCATACGCAGAGATGCACACGGAGATGTAGACGATACACGCATTCATACCAAAGCATACCCTTCTTGATGTGGGTATGGGTCAAAATTAAACCACCAGAGGACCACAGGTTCTAGTCCATGCTTCCATTTACCAGGGCAACCCATTTTGAGTACCGAATTTTGACCCACAGCCATGTGTGTTGGAATATATTAGAGGAAAGCTGGGCGGTCCCCTTCTGGTTGTTTGGTCCGGACGCAGGTGCGGCAGTTGAGCCAGACGAATGCGCAGATGCAGGCACGAATCACCCGAGCAGACCGCTTTGCTAGGAACAAGTAGTTGTGGTCAAGGGAACCCGATCAGCTGCCGCACTTGACCAGGGCTTTGTAGTTGGATGTCGTTGGATAGCTCGCAGCTGTCAGTAAATGAATGTTTGGATTTGACTTTGTTAGGCCCGCTTTGCTTTTTCCTTTGGGTTTGGCGCCAGCACGGCGTGTGAGCGTGTGCGGGCTGCAGGGCACGAGCAGGTCTTGAGACGAAGGCCAGATGAAGCCTGAACAAGGCAGTCGTTTGTTGTTCGTTTTGGAAGAACATTGGCTCCTTGGAACTACCATAGATGAGAAGCAGCCAGAGTTTTTAGAGTGGAAAAGAGGCTGCGTCCAGGGAAACATGTTGCCAAGGAGAATCAGCCAATAATGACAAGTCTATGACAAGAGTGGGATGCATGACTTGAGACGGAGTTAGAGATGGGTGCATCATTCTTTTTGCGGGTACCCCTTTTGGTCTGTTTCAAAGGGAACCACAGAATATCCGTTGCGCCATGTTGGGGGGGGGGAAAAACCAAAGACTGAAGCCTGGCATACCCAGATATCCCAGTCTGGCACCAAGTCGGCAGGCGGAGATTTGCAGCTTCCGCGGCGCCGTCAAGGAGGGGTCCGGCTGTCCCCGGTTTCGCTCGGTTCCCCCGGAACCGGCCGGTTCCGGAGAGCCGGCTCGAGGGGCGATCTATTTGGAAGAGAGTCACTAAGCTCTCTGGTGCAGCGGGGTTCGTCTTCGGTTTTTCTTTTTGGTGAAACCCCAAAAGTGGCCAGGAACCTTCAGCAACGATAACTTGTGCAATCCCAAACACGAGAAATCTTCCCATTCGAATCGCCCAAAGTAGTCTTAGTCTTAGATGTTGTCGGTTGCGGAATTTTGCGCTGGCAAGCAAGCAGGGTTCCGCTTTTTTACTACCCCAAGAAGGACTTAAACTTAGGGGTTCTCCTTTAGGGGGGAATGAACCGGCCCTGGGTTTCGGCGTCCCCGTAGTCAAAAAGGGGAGCCCTGAGATCACGTGCTCTCGAAGGTCTGCTTCAATGTATCAAGCCATGGCCATTTCGCATCCTGTGAGAGTTGATTTCCCATATTCAAGCAAGAACAAACAGATTAGTTCACCCATAAACTAGGGGTTCATGGTTCATATATGGACATATACATGCAGCCTTTGATTGCTTGTGGATCCCTGAACTTAGGCTTGTGAACTGTAATGTTGAATGATTTGTATGCAGCAAGGCCGAGCGAATGGCTGTTCATGGTTTGAGCCGAGCGAAAACTCGGCGCTGAGACTTTGAGCACCTTGGGCTTGCTTGGGTTTTTGAGGTCCTTGCAGCCGTATCCTTGTCACGTGTGAGCCAAAGCCAAAGACAAGCTAGTGGGATCCGGTCCTGAGACCCGACTCTTGATCCGCATGGTAGGTGTCAAGATTAAACCAGGGGGTTAACCCTCATTTTTTGTCGGCCTGTTGTTGACAACCACACCCATTTCAACTTAGTGATCGGACAGATTGATTCATTGGCGCGGGCTCCCCCTATGGTCGTGATCTGCTTGATGACCTTGCGGGGTGTTTCGGCCATATGCGGGTTGATCAAAAGCAGGGACCTTTGCAGGTAGGTGGTTTCCTTTTGGCTTCCCTTGAAACCCATCCAAAAAGAAGGGGTGCTCTTTTTTGAGAAACCAACATGTTTTTCTCCCAGCTGAGTTTCCATTTTTTTGGGCCTGCGCTGCCGGCTGCGAAGCAGCGGCATGAGTTAATTACCAACATTTGTGCAGGTGCAGTCCATTGCACCTACCAAGATACGACCTTTTTTTTTGGGGGGGGGGGGGCGTCAATCCAGCTCACTCAGGATGATAGCTCCCTACATGGGTCATTCCTGATTTGTTCAGATGTGATGCACCTGGTTTCGGGCGCACCTTGAGACTCAGGCCGTTCTGGCTCAGCTCGCTTTCAGCTAAAAGCCACGGGATGTAGGCCTTCGATTTCATGAGGGACTCAGAGATCCCGCTTAGCTAGAACGTGCAGCCCCTGGTTCGTGCAGCCTTTGGTTTTGCCACAAGATACTAGAAGTCACTTGCTTTCCAGAACCCTTAATTATAAGAGACCCCCTGGTTTTCAAGGGCATGACCATACTCCCCAATGGAAGCCCTTGGCTTACCACAACCACACCAGTGGAATTTCATGCCGCTTGGCCCCATGGCGCACCTGGACCGCCCTCCGGGCCATCAGGCGAGGTGAATTCGGCATGGAACCACCTCCAAAGTGATTGGACCGAGCATTGGTCTCTCATCAGGGGTGAGCTCCTTGAAACAATAAAGATCCATGGGTGCATGAACGATAAACAACCTTGTTTGGTTTCCTCTTTGCTGCGACTAGAAGACTTGAAACAAGGATGCAACCCACTGGAAGTCTAAGAACATGGGTGGAGCCCCTTTGGGTTGGTATGCAAAAAATCCAGCAGTTCTAGGGTATTAGGAGACTTACGTCTTCATTCCCAGCTCGAGTATTATAGACATGTTTGCAGATAGCTTGTTCTGTGGCATGCCGAATTTGTTTTGTAGGTGGGGTGGAGCGGGTGTTTGGCTTAAGGGTCTAGGTTGACCTTGGCCCTCATATTCATGCATGTGAATGCAGCGCATGACAGACTAAGCTCTTTTTGGAGCGCCTTTGCACTACAACTTCTACTTACGGTTGCTGGCAGGAGCTTTGGCATCGCGGCTCGTATCTTTTGATCATCTGGAGATTGTTGGAAAACAGCTTGGCAGACTGAATCCAAGATGTTGGTTGGATGCCAAAATCTTCTCACTTGGCAAAGGGTGTCACTGAGTGGCCTTCCACTTTGCTCGTGCAGCTTGGGGGTGGCGATACCTCAGCGCCCTTGTTGAGTAACTCTATTTTGAACCGAGATACCCTCCCACCCTCGCCCCCGCAACGTCAAACGTCGGGTTCTGTGTTAATCGGTGGGAGGGTATCTTTTGGTTCGGAGATGCAGCAGACGACTAAGTTGAGAGTCTGCGAATTTTAGGGGACCACCGTGACAGTCACGCATTTGGCGGGTAGGACAAAGACTGTGGGACACTGTCAAATAGCATGACATATTGTAGCTACTCAACCAGGCCCTGCTTTGGCATGAAAGGTCTAAGTCTAAGACAAAGTGGTCTTCAGGGGTCCCGACAAGAACTACAACTGACCAGAGCAATGTAATTTGGTTCGGAACTTTCTTTCTTCATTGGTTGGTGAAATGCTGGAGGAAAAAATCGTTTGTTCCGAGAAAGAGCAACAGCAAGAACATAGCCCCAAGCCGACCTGTGTTTGCTTGCCAGCATTTGGTGGTTTCTTATGTGATCAAACTAAGACATGACCTCTCTGTGTTCCTTCAGGTGGAAAAATCACAGCGGCTTGGACCAGTGCGCATAGGCTCACTTGCATCCAGCTGAGAGCATGGCAACGGAGGATTCCCCCAAAACGGCCAGTGAACCAAATTTCCAGCAACCACATCCAACGGCCCTCCTGAAAGCAGGATGCCCTTTGTCCCTGGCAGAGATGGAGCCCGCCATTTGAAACTCTATGCCATGCCCCGGGGGCTTTGCCGATCGCTAGGCTTCTAGATGCTCGGACAGGCGAGAGGGAGCGAGCTGTGGTTTTTCGGGTACACTGTTCAGATTGGAAAGGGATACCTGAAGAGAAAACAACATGTTGGCTCCCTATTTTGACACGAACCCTTATTTGATACAAAATTGGAGCCATAGCAAGCTAATAGTGACTATTCGTGCTTATTAGTGACTATTTGGTGCCATTAAGGACCATTTGAACAAATATGAACTCCCCTTTTTGCTTTCCAAGATCGCCTCAAATGCTGTTTGGCCCTGGGCTCCCAAGGAAACTCAGCTCTTCGGCAGAAACAAGACACCTTTTGGTTGCAGAATGGGAGGAGTCCCCTCGAAACAAGCTCTGTTTCTTTGACCAGGTTTGGATTCGCTCGAGTGAGCAGGAAAAACAATCATAAAGTTGTTTTGGCAGGTCAACTACATTGGGATCATGGCCATGCTTCTCAATTAGCAGGTTGGCCATCCAAAATCAAGGGAAACCGCGTACCGAATGAGGCGCATTGCTGGGGGGCCAACCAGGGACACCTTGTGGCATGCTGAGTCCGCACAAGAAACTGTTTCGGGACAAAGAAACACGGAACTGGGACCTGCGAGGAACTTCTGCTGTTTGTTGACTTTGCATCAGGGGCCCGCATGGGTGGCCTGGAAGGATACCGGCGATGGTCAAAGCACAAAGATAGCCCAAGGACTTGAAACGAATATTGAATCATGGTGAATCGAGCATTTCACAGATTTCAGGGCGGGGATTGCAGCAATGATTCCCTGGGGTGCCGAAGTCTGCAACAAGAGGGTGAGATGAAATGCTAGCTGTTGCGTGGTAAGCTGTTGCGCATTCTTGCAATTTCACTTCAAGCTTTAACCCGGGGCCTTCGGGACTTCTAATGCTAGGTGCCCAAACCTGCTGCCATACATGAGGGTCAGAGCGACGCTGGAGAACAGGAATTGGGTTATGAGTGTTGTGCGTTTCACGACATGAAATCCGCATGTAATGCGATGGCACCATAATGCAACGAACGTGACTTGAACGGGCACTTATGTTTGTCAGAAGGATATGCACTTCCGAGCCAGCATGCTTGAAAGCCTGATATCTGCGCGAAAATGTGGCCAACATCATGCAATGGTTGGATGGCATCGGATTTCAGAGGAAATGCAACCACCGCCCTGATGAGATAGACAGCACATAAAGCAACATGGAGCATGGAGCTAGGTAGGTTTCTTCCTTCAAGCCGTAGCAGCTTTTCACATCCTCATGGCGAAAAGCTGTGCGGTGTGCGGCAAAAGTGATGGCCTGAAGTTTTGTGGCGGATGCAAAGATCGCTGCTACTGCAGCGCTGGGTGTCAGCGATAGGACTGGAAGACTCACAAAGCATCATGTCAGAAGAGTTGCCGCAAGGCTGATGTTCTTGGGAAGGGCCTTCATCATTTTGATCCTGCGGATCATTCAGGAGACAATGAAAATGCATGTTGTGATTTTGTGCTGGTTGCCGGGAAGGGCGCAGGTGCAGTTGCCAAAGCCTTCATCCCAGCAGGAGAGATCATCGTGCAAGACCAGGCCCTCCTGTACGTTGCTGGACATGAGCTTGGCATCTCAGATATTTGGCCCTCTACGCCCGCGGACAAAGTGGAGAGAAAGAATGCACTGGTCAAGCAAAAGTTTGATCAGCTCTCAGGAAAGGAACAAGCCAAGGTGACAAACATGACAAAGTGGTCATGACAAATTGGTTGATGTTTCTTTCTTCGGTGTCGCGAATAGGAAGTATGGGTGGGCTCCTTGGTACACTCATTGTATTTAAATTCAAGAAAGTGGGACACACCAATCTGCCACCATAGCTGAACCCAAAAAGGTTTGGTGCCCTGAGTAGGTGCTTTCCCTAGAAGACTCCCAGACCAGCAACAAGGTCGCACGTGCGATCACGGACAAGATGTACACGGATGGCAGCATCACATCATCCTGGGAAAAGCTCTACACTCTGTCTTCAGTCCCCTCAACACCCATACCAGAAATAC